CATCTTCTCTCCCTGTGCTGCAGAACAGAATGGTTTGTCATGTCATCGTGTCGCGAAGGAGTATATGGAGTAGGACAGAAGTATATGCTAGAGATAGTCTATCTATCTACCTTGCTTTTACCTGCATTCTTTCTGATGCCCAACAGGGGGCGATTACTCAGGTTTCTAAAAAGCCTTCTGCTATTATAGAAGTACTTCCATACTCTCTGATGTCACTGAATACCTGGTAACTTTTTGAGGCTCAGTTGCTAGTTTTACATCATAGTGTACAGAGTATGAAATTCCTTTGTAAATTTGTCATCATTATTTGAGTCAGAAAGGTGGATAAACCAGGAAATGCTAATTGGTTAATGACTTGTTACTCATAAGCTGTTAACCAATAAGTGGTTCACTTTTCGTGTCTGACTTAAAAACACTAAGATAGCTACAAAAGACAATTAAACTGATTGTGTTATGGTGGCTATGTCCACCTTATATATATATATAGTCCATGGACTGAGCTTGTGTGTGCATATATATAGGCTATTCATCATACCTGACTCCATGAATCACTTTAAATCCTAGATAAGCACTTTAGCTTCATCAATGGAGGAGGTGATAATGGTTTCAGCCAGCTGTTGGGCCAGTAGGTTAAGATCACTGTCATGTGACATCTGTTCTCTTTTTTTGGCAGCCAGAACCCACTTAGTAATATCACATGACAGAGCCTGTGCAAAAGTCTCTATAGTTGGTTCATGCAGAGGTGCTACTTCGAAACTGCCTCTCCCCAAATCATCTGTAGACAGCGACTGCATGAGATGCTCCATCAGTTCGACATGAGGGTCGTTGATCAAAGCGTCTCCGTTGTCCTCCTTGTCCTTTGGCGTTGGTGGAGGAGGCGAGGGTAGGAAAACCTTTGCCAGGCCTCCTTTTAGCTTACGGGCGAAGCTGCTTCTGCTCCTCTCCAGCTCTGGGAGAAGAGGCGTGGTCGGTGGGGCGTCGGGGTAGTCGAGGGATCCAACAGCAGGAAGCCCTGACTGGGATAGAGGTGGATGGCAAGGCTGGGCAGAAGTCTGGTGTTCTTGGTCTCTTCTAGATTTATCCTCAAAACACTGCCGTTCACCCTTGTTGTTCTCCATCTCTATTTCAGCACCCTCCATGTGGTCCTTTAAGTTTCTTCCTCTACACACTTCACTCAGAGCGATCTCAATCACTGCGGATGCTAGCGCCTCAGCTAGCATTTCGTGCTCTTGGTTATAAATGGACTCCTCAGGTTCTACTGTTTCCTTTTGGCTAAAAACTGATCGAAGTATGTGCTCTGACATGTTTTGGGCAAACTCCCCGAGAACCTCTGTGTTTAGGGGGCTTGTTTTGAGGCCTTCGGGAATACCAGGGTCTTGTGGAGGGGGCTCTGGCATCCTCGAATCTGCACCTTCTGTCTTCATTGGATCCTGTGTGGATAAAAACAATAATCTCTGTGAAAGTGCAGGGAATATTGATTTTCCTGCAGCTTCTTTTCAGCTACAGAAGGTAATGTAAAGCAAAGAAAAATAACCTCTGGTTTGGACTGCTTGTTTGGAAAATTAGTTTATTTTTGCACTTTTATTTGAATATTGCTTGCCAGTGTGCTCAGTGTAAGCTAAGTACAATGTCAATATTTCCCTTGGTGTATGCTTTCTCCTTTCATCCCCCAAAGAAACATTTTTTTTTTATCCCTCGGCTGTTTCAGATTAGACAAGAAATAAAATGAGATTACAAGAATGCTACAAGTACAAGAAAAATCAAACAAGAAAGTCTAGCAAGGAGAGCATAGAGAAAGAATAACGAG